TTCTTATATGAAACTCTGAAATTCTTAATACTTCAAAATACAATTTCCTTTACTTTAAATAAAAAAAAGGCATAGTCTTATCCAACTCTAGAATTGAGCTTAACTCTAGAATTGAGCTTCATTATTAAAGATTTTTGCTTAAATTTACTACAATATCTAAAAACAAAAAGTATAGTTATTTAAAGTTAAACTCTGACATCCAAAGTTATGTTAATTAATTTTTAAAAATATAGTTAATTGAGGACAAATAAAATTTAGTTTACTTCTTTTAAAGAAAATTTTCTTTCCTCCAAACTTAGATTTTAAATAATAAGTAAAGAATGTAGTACAAAAATTTGTAGGTGAAAGAAAATAGTAAATGCATAAAAATAAAATTATCCTGTAGAGGGTTCTGAATATGAAACATGGCTCTGACACATTCCATGTACTAATTTTACAAAGTACAAGCTTTAAAGCATTAAATGAAACATAATATATCAAAGGCTTTTCTAAGAAAAAATAAATTAAAAACATAAGTAATAAATTAAAGAAACTAACAATGCTAAAATAAAAATCTACAGTTTACAACTACATACACAAACAAGTTTAACAGTTCCACAATCAAAACACATAAATTATCCAAATCATTCCAACAACAAAACTAAAAAAATAATAACAAATAAAATAGATAAAACTTAGTAATTCTTCATTCATCACCTTCCTCCTCATCTTCTTCTTTTTCTTATTTTTCCTCTTCTTCAAAATTATCTTGCACATAAGACATGAAGCTAAAGCATGTAGGAAACTCTACAATATGATCACCCCTCTGATATCTAACCATCTCCTTTTGATATGCAATGTCATGTTGTACTCTTCTTTGCTTATAATCATCATTGTGAGCATTTCCTGATTCCAAACCACCTATTCTATTTTGCATCACTATAATATTTGATTCTTGAATCATTAACTGTTCCATAATATTTTCAAGTGGAACGGGAAGAAGAACTGGAAGTAGATGGTCCTGCAACTGATGTAGAGGGTCTATCACTACTTCCACAATATTTTCAAGTGAAACAAAACTGGAAGTAGATGGTCCTGCAACTGATGTAGAGGGTCTATCACTACTTCCACTTCTACATCCAGCAAACGATTCAAATTTATGCATTGTAGGTTTTCCAATTAATTTAAGTGGTTGCAACAAGTCTTCATTCTTATCAAATTCTGCTCTTGATTTTTCATATAAAGTGAAAATCAAAGCAGGATAACCTAAACCACTAGCAGTCCCATTTCTAGCAATACTTTGAGCATTATGTATAAAAGGAGCACCTTGATCAACAACTTTCATTTGTTGGATGCAAAAATTCAGTACTGCTCTCTCCTTGGTTACTTCACTAAGGTGATTAGTTGAAAGAAATTTTGTAGAAATAAAGTAATGTCATTCTTTAGATTGAACATTCAACGTGGAAGTGGAGAAATTTACATTGTGATTTTTCTTAATCTTCCATTCTCCATTTCCATCAGTAAGATAAACAATTACTTCATCAAGTGATGAATCATAAATCACAAATGCAGAATACTGACAATGAAATTCATTTCTTAACCTAAAAAGTGCATTGATCCTTTTACTAGTAAATTCAACATGTTTACCTCTAACATGAATGTGCTCATTAGTAGTCACCTGAGGATTGGCATAAAATTCTCTAATGATAACAACAATGGCTATTTCTGTGATGTAGCAAAAGGTCTCCTAGTTCGGAGCTACTAACAATCTTTCAATCTTTCCTTCCGGGTTTGAAAATGCACGTTTCTGAATCAATTTTCTGGATCCCATCATAGTATTGTAGTTATATTGGGCTTTCAAATTAATGAAATGCCTCACATCAAAATTTCCCAAATGTTTTCCTCTTTTCACTCTTGGAGCCATATGAATTTTTAAATAAATTCACATAAAATCCAAATAAATTCACAATATCATAAATCAAACTCAAAGTAAGAATATCTGGTAAGAAACTTTTCTCCATGGGTTCTCTTTAAACTTCTTCAATAAAAACTCAAAATTTTGAATTTCCATAATGTAGAAAAAATCCATGGTGAAAATAAAAAATTTCAAATTTAAAGTGAAGCTCTTACCAAGGGAAGATTAAATCCGAGACTTTTTAGCCTTCAAATCTCCTCAAATTCACTAAATGGCAAGCCCTAGGTTGAGTTTTGATCTTAGTCTAGAGGTAGGAGACGATCCAAGCAGTAAAAATGGGGTTTAATAGTGGATTTTCGTGCTTTTAAGTAAATCTGGGCATTATCGAGAAACTGGCGCCTTAGGCGCCAAATCTGGCACCTCTGGCGCTAACTCCAAAAATTCATATTTCAATTTTCTTTTGAGATCTGCTACATACCAAACCACATCAATCTCTGATTAACTTAATTAAATGCTTATATTCATAATTAAACAATCTTCTAACAACATATTTTCACAAACAACACAAAACTCACATTTATTTATATAATCCACACAATTACAAACCAATATTTTTTAAGTCAATACATCTAATTCAACATCTAAATCAAACCATACAAACTAATGTTGATAACATCAAACACTCAGCATATGACATAGATAAAATTCAACAATAAAAATAAATGAAATTCAACATAAACACATAACACATATAAGCAATCATAATTATGAATTCTGTACTAAAACGAGTTCAAACATCTTCTTCACTTTCGTCTTCTTGAGTGATTCCTATGGATTGGTGGTGAACGTACAAGTTATAAAAGTTCGATGAGGAAATTTGTCCGTCGAATCATCTTCAACCCAAACATTTTTCTTAAACATACGCACCATACCTTCTTCAATCCGCCCGGTATGTTTGAATTGTTCCTTCATCCTCCAATCTAAATGATCAAATATATCAGAATTGTTTCCAAAAATACTGCTAATCACATTCATAATAATAATCATCTCTTTTTCTAGCTTCTTAATCTTCTTTAAAATAATAAATGAACTATAAGGAAAGCGGGGCTGAATAGGTGATGAATTTTTAGATGATTGATCCATAAGAATATTTATATTGTTTTCCTCCCCATTTCCTATGCAGTTGCAACAAATCTCTGGGTCCATAGGCTTTTAAGGGAGAAGCACTTTTTCCCAACTTTCATAAGGCACTTATGACTGGCTGCATAGTTGTGCCAGCCCATAAGTCGAACCGTTGATAATCAAACCCAAAATAGATTTTACAATTAAAGCACCCACATTAATAGGTCTTCCGGTTTGAATACAATAACTTAAAACAACAGTTTCCTTGGTCATTTTACCGATTTTCAAGTAGGAAGAAGTTTTGATGTAATAAAGAAATGCCACGCCTTTGATGAATGATTCAATAATGATGAAGAAAACTTACATTTCTATTATCTCTTGTCTCTCAATTTGCATGTTCTTCAGTAAAGAATCGATAGAGTTTATTCATATTATCTCTCGAAGGGACAAAATCTGCATAGTGATAAATAGGGACAATTTCAATCATAAACAAATTGTTTATTCTTGAAGGAGTAAATGATACCCACCTGCCTCAAACATAAACTATATCTTGGTTAATTCCATGAAGATTAGTATAAAGCTCTTTCACCACAAGAACTACTACCGCAACAGTGGTAAAGCAAAACACTTCCCAGCTTCTCTGTGCAATAATCTCCTCCACTCGAGTATTTTGTGTGTTGAATCCTTGTTTCTTGATTAATCTCTTCTTCTCAAGAATTCGATCATATAACTTTTGCGCATTGAAATTGATGAAGTTCCTCCAGTTGAAAACTCCATGTCTGGCGGTTTCTTTAGAGCGTGAAGCCATAGGATTTGAAAAATGGTGACTTTCCTTTCGTTTTCCACTCTTAAATATCCCCTCTAAAATAACTGCACTGTTTAGTTGTTGGGAGTTACTAGGAAGAAAATCAGCCAAAAACCGCCCAAAACCGCCTTTAGAATCTTCCAAACTAGTTCTGGTAATCGCGACTCTTCTGGCGCCAGCTCTCTGGAGAATGGTGTCTCAGGCGCTAAATCTGGCACCTCTGACGCCAGTTCAGATTTCTGCACTGTTTCTTTTTAAATCTAAATGTATAATAATTTTTAAAACACTTGTCAATATCATTTTCAAAGTTAAATAAGAATATTCAATTTCACATTAGCAAAAAAATTGAAAAACTTATCTTATGAGAAAATGATTTGTGCTATCAGATAAATGTCATAACCTTTTTTAAGAGTTGCCTTAGACTCAATATATTACTTTTTATATTTGCAAAAAATAAACAATCAAGATGAGTTGATGCTTTCCATTGTACAAGGGGATGAGAAAAATAATTTTATCTTTCACTTCTATCTTTATGTTGTCACCAAAAGTCGTCATTATTTCCCCAGCATATGATGTCATGCACCAGTGTTGAGGAACATTGTTCCACCTCAACACATTCTCTTAAGAAAAAATCTGGTAAACTCTGATACCACCTTTTGTTGAAATTAAGAACTTTTAGGACTAGATGAATGTTGAGATGGAAATAGAACAACTTAATTTGATGAAAAAAAAAAACAATTTTATTTCGCATCTATTTATACTAGTGACAACTCCATTAGAATTAAGCCAACACATATCACTTTTATGGCAACTACCGACTCTCTAGAATTCTCTTATATATTCTATCACAAAGTTCATTATTTACTTATTCTACGTATGTCTAAATATTCTCTTACAATATGCATCTAGATTCCACATATAGACCAAATCAAATTTAATTTTCAACATTCTCATACCATTTTATCACACAGGAAACCCAATCAACTAAAATAGAATGCTTTCGTCACCCTGAAAAGAGAGAAAAAAGAAAACCCGCACTCGTGAGATTTATTGTCAATACAAAGTTTTCAATATAGATGTTTATTAATGAGATGTTGTCTGGCTACACGTGCATGGATGGAACACAGACACATTTGTATGTTATATCTTAGCAATGGGTCTAAGACGTGCTTATATAATTCAAACATTTTTCGTAGAGGTCCAAAGCCGGTTGCTGTAGATCACCACGTTGCGGTCTCGTTGCAGGAGAAGAATATAATTTCCAGATGTTCCGCTAGTTTTACTTTCCCATACGAGCTTTCCATTCTCATCTTCAATGACGAGATTGCCATCAGTCGTCAACGTGAGCTCACATTTAGTACCTTTGTCGTTGGTATGGGTATACCAAACGGGTTTCTTCGGGTTTAGTTCGTAGAGAACGAGGTTGCAGTCTACTTGCATTTCTAAACTGTAATTTATGTCGGAAATGTTTTCGCCGGTTTTTAGTTTTTCACCCGATAAAAGGTGGTTCTCAGCCGCGCTACCTGTTGCAAGAAGGCCGACGGCGAAGACCACAATCGCCATGAGGAAGAAGGAGCGGAAAGCTCTCACAATGGAGGCCATGGATCAATATTCCTTACAAGTGGTTGACGTTTAAGTTGCCTTTGCTGCTTGTAGCGTCGAGTTCTTTTATAGATACATGTGATAAGGGTTACCAGCTTAGGATTCATTATAGATACATTGTCACTATTATTATTGACTCTCGTTTCCAATTGCAAATTTTTGAATTCAGCGTAGCAAAATATATAAAAAAATGCATTGAAAATTACATTGCAATAAAACTATAATTTTAAATGCAAATAGTCAAGTTAACAGTTTTTCTCGAGCCAAATATTGTTGGAAAATTTTGGAATAGGAAGATTAGTTTTAGTGCCGAGAGAAATTAATTAGTTGTTACTTGGTCAACATTCAATATTAGTACATGTTCTAAATAGAAGTCTTGTCACAAAATGCTCTGTGGCTTAACATTGAAATCGCTTGGGATCAATTACATGATCATCTGAACTCTATTTAATTGTTAATTTTCCAATATGGAAAACAGTAAGGATAGTTGTTTCTCATTTAAATGACTTAAGTAATTTAAATAAAAAATTTAATTGAATTTTGAAATATTTTGTGGTAATTTATATTTTGCTTTGTTTTACTAATAGATTTGTAAAAGGTAATTTTTTTGAGTGTTATGTATGTAATTCCCTCTATTTATTAATAACATTAACTCAATGAATATCACACTAGAAATTTATTTTATGGATAATGTAACAGCTAGAAATGTAAAATATTAAATTTCTTTTACAATATATATATATATAATGTAACAGCTAGAAATGTAAAATATTAAATT